GGGCCTATGACTTTCATAAACATTTCCATATTCCCTTTATTCTCTCTTCAACACTAGACTCAACTAGCGGTTAATTGCACTTGTTTGGTTTCTTAAAAAGAAAGTTTTGTTTTGTTTTGTTTTGAAATCATTTTATTTGTGGTGTTCGTAGCAGTAAGAATATAAGAAGAAGCTCTGTGACTAAGAGCTTACCTGGCCCTTGGCCAGGCCTGGCGATGAGCTCCTGCCCCTAAGCATCATGGCAGAAATGATTCAGAACTGCATCTCTGAGGAAGGATAGACTAGGAAATGTCACCAGAACTTCAGGTGTTGCTGGGGAATGGTGGGAGCTGTTAGTGCTGTGCCTGGGGATACATATGGTCATTGTGAAGCCCTTCCGGTCTCCTCTCTCCGTCTGTCTGCTGATCCACTTGCGCCAGTCCCTCTCAGTAGGTTACTGAGAGCTTCATAGGGCTTATTTCCCCTTAGCAACTTCTAGATCATGCTTTCTCTTGTTGACATCGGTAGCAAATATTTTCATGGGAACACATGCCTTTTATGATATGTTTTAAAATAAGCACAAGGCAGAATTTAACATTTATATTTATATCATAATTTTTAATGTATTAACATTGGTAGATACACAGAGAAAAGTCAACATGGCTGTTGTTTAGCCACCATCACCTTTTTTTGGACACAGCTGGAGTTCCCAGTTTCTGGACAGATCCTTCTAAAAATAGTTTATGAGCATACACAATGCATGCTTTGTATTTTCTACACAAAGGGTAGCACACCATTTTTGGCACTTTGCTTAAAACTAGTCATATTAACCATGTCTTGAATTATTTCTATATTAGAGTGGAGACTTTCCTTGTAGCATTTTATACCATGGCATGGAATTGTAACTCTGTACCCATTATGAACCCATGGACTGTTAAACATTCTATACATAGAGAAGTATCTAGTTGGATAATTTTCTAGAAGTAGACTTACTGAGGTGCCGGATAAAGTCTGGGTTATTCATCCACGGCAGTTTTAACTTACAATGTCTATAAGAGGCCCAGCCACCTCCAGCCTCATAACATAAAACATTTGTTTTTTATTAATTTGTTTGCTTTGTCCTGGGGGTTTTCTACCACTGAGTTATATCCTCAGCCTCTTAGCATGGGGGTTTTGCGTATAAGATACTAACTGTTGACAACATTTGCCTATCCAGAAGTTCGTATGAGGCCTTGTTCAATCTCAGTACACACATTCCTCCCAAAACAAACAAATGAGAAAAGAAAAAAAAATATGGTTTTATTAGCATCTAATGTAAGAGTTTTATTAACATGCTGTGGGAAAGGTTCATTAGCCTGGGGATGCCAGAGACTTGCTTACGTGAGAATCTGAGGTGGTCCATTCAATAGGTAGATGATCTCAAGCCAGGTTCAAGTTGTACAGCTTTGGTTTGGAGACCAGGAAGTGGTACAGGACAGAGAGAAAGAGGGGGGGGGGGAGGTAATTCTAAGGATAGTGCCACTTGTCATTTAGTTTGCTGCATCACCCTACCATAGAAACTTTGTTAAAAATATTGTACATGAGTGGGTAAAGCTGAAATGGGTTGATCACACAGGGAGGCTTTGGGACTATAATGTATAGCATCAGTGCCAGCAGTAATAACCATTTACTTCAGCAAATGCCATCCATTTCTTAATGAGGCATCCATACATAGTAACCACTGGACAGGCAATCTGGGCAACAATGCCCTTGATTGTAGTCATGGCCAGCAGGCCATATATACTTTTGGGAATCCAAAGCTTCACTGGTATATTTGTTGGCCATCTGAACCCCCAAACATCATTAATAGCTGACAAGCTTGAGAAAAGGCATCTTAGGAAGAAAATAATAAATCTTTCCTGGTTGCCCATATCATGGTGCCCCTCTATGGTACTTCCTTAGGAAACCTCAGCACTGTTTCTCAAGACATTGGGATAGGCATTCTTACACAGTGAGACGCTTTTATTCTCTCTCTCTCTCCCTCCCTCTCTCTCTCTCTCTCTCTCTCTCTC